GAGTTCAAAACTCGCATCGTTCATTGAAGCAAATTTATGATTGTCACTTGTCATCCTGGAGCCATATAGTGGCAAACAGATGCTTCCAATCACGTGAAGAGGCTTCAGAATAAACGGGAATCTCGACGCAGGTCTAGCGAGGGGGAGGCATTTGCTTTTGTGCTGCTTCCCATTGTCGTGTCGAGCCATCAGGTAGAGATTTATGGAATCTTGTGCAGCCATGAAAGGGTACTAGACAACTTTCCAGAAACTACTTGCAAACTCTTTTGTACACTATCTACCAACTTTTGCAGAGCTACATATGACCCCGACAATGGGAGGCAGCGAAGCGCTAAATGCTTCCTCCCTCACCGGAAGGCGCCGAAGTTCCTCCAATTACGAATCACTGACTGGGCATTATGGAGGCTGCCATCTGAACAGGGGAAACTGATTCAAAAACATTCATGTTTTACGAGCGACATACTTATTATGGTTACACAATAAATCATGGTACAGAGTGGCAACAATCAAAGTAGTCGGTCTTTCCGAAAACAAATTGAGCACTCACTCCGCGAGGATTGGTGCTTGCCACGTGAGAGGTGAGCCGCAGCTACAGCAGCGTGCCAGTTTCTCCGGCCAAAAGTGCGCGAGAACGGAGCTGGAGTAGAGGGCATTGACAACTGCCAGCCACATTTTGAACTGTAGCTAAAGGTGCTACTTGTCTGCACCCTCTCATTTTTGCTTGTTGTCTATCTCTGAGTGGGTGCTTTGTCCTTCGCTGCAGGATCTTGGTATCCATGCAAGTGCTGCACATAATCGTCGTCATCCGGGCAGTTGATTAGCCTGCCCCAGGTGTCGCGACGCGGCTGCAGCGCGTCACGACGTGGCGATCAGCTGTTTCCACCCTAATTTTGCAATTTTTTCCTAATTTTCACTGCATTTCCTATTTTTTTCGAGATAATTTACGTTATTGTCTTTATGAAGTGTATAACCCGCGGATTCTTTCATTTTCTCTCGTAATGATGTGTTTTTCGCGATTTTCTTTAGGCATTTGTCTAATTGTTTGTTTAATCGTTTAATTGTTCGCAAAAGTTATAAAGATTCCAATTATAATTTACCTTGTGAAGACAAGGAACTGCTAACCTTGAAAAACGCAGCCAAAAGCAGTGAAAAGTAGGGAAAAATGACTAAATTAGGCTGGAAAAAGCAAATAGTTCCTACGCACGCGGTCGCTGCTGCAGCCGCGTCTGCGGCCCGTTGACGACCGCCCTAATCAACTGCCCGGATGACGAGGTTATAACGCGGCAGAGTGTGGTGACGGCACCTGCGTGACACTACCCCGTTCCTTTCACCTTTGCGCGGACGAAGTAGCACGCAACACGCTGGGTCCTGTCGTCTCGCACACGGGAAGGAACGTTCTTGAGAGTGTGTTCGTCTTTAAGCTTATTTCTATGTACCACGAGATAGAAAACATTCAAAGTATCCTCGGATGTTAACCACGCTCCACACTCACTTCAACGCTTATGAATGCGCGCGCGCAAAGAAAATTGGACTATTTATTTTCAAATCTCTACCTTCATAGAAAATCGCAGCCAGGCTCACACCCGCTACGTTGTTTAGTATCGATCCTTTCTTGTCTCCCCTTTGAGCCCCTTCACCACTTTTCAATCATCGTCTTTCTAGCACGGTAAAGAAGAACTGTGCCCAGCAGATCGAAGAGAACCACCGGACTGGAGACCATTTCCAGTCCCCACCCATTCGCTCACTGCAGAATGTACCGCTAATAGTGAACGACATAACTTCAGTCAATCAATGTATTAAGCGAACCACTTGAAATTGAATAGTGCTGTTCGGGTTTTGGGCTAGACGCGGTGTCTGTGATTTGATTGCTAATTGCCTCGAACTTTGTAGCTCTCTCGTCGTGTGATGTGTCTACTGGTGAGAACTCGCATAACTTGTTAAGCTGCGAAGTGGTACAGTAAAGTCACATCACTCCCCGACTATGTTACATGAAACTGCTCAGCTTTGCTGGGTACCATTTGGTGCCTCCCCCACGCCGCGACCGCAAAAATGGCCTTATGGACGTTATTTTTATGCGAAATATATCCTGGAGCGAGAGCCTCATTGGTGCTGTAAGCTTTTGATCTGACGTCAGTTCACAATGGATTTTTCAGGTTCTCATATATGGTACCGATGATAACGATCTCGCACGTGGCTATGACATCCTCGTCTTTCCTCATCGTATGCGCATCATTTGAACGTTACTGTCTTACCGTCAATTCTCCATTTCTTCCATTCGCTCAAAAGTACGTTTGATAGTTGAGCTACTCATACTTTTGATTGGAAAATAATCGGCAAATTTCTCCCTACTACTCCACTTCTCAGGATTCAGAACCTGAGGTTTGCCTAAGATCTCAGAAGTAGAATCGAGAAGAAATAATCATCCGACGTAGTTTGAGCTTGCCTGAGCTATTTACCTGATCGCTAGGTTATCCCTGGGTGTTCCGGAAGCGTCATACTTTCTTTTGCGACAGGAGCGACAGAAACTCTGTTGACACCTGTCACACGGTTTCAACATCGTGATGTGTGAAGTGGGAAGTGTTATATAGGTACTGACCATCTTCCTTTCGGGAAAGGATCGTGGTACGACCCCTCCCCCACCTGAGGGAGGGTTTAACTACGCCTCTAGCCCAACAGCTATTTTCTATTTCTAGCACTTTCCAGTATGCTCCCCCCACAGAAAAATCCCCGCTCTAGTTTTCTTTGAGAACGACTGTCTGCAAACTGGCACTTTTCGGACGAGGGACGGTTTTTGCTTTGGCACCTTGCCGAAAAGCAGGTTTTGGTATTTTTGCTCGAAGGCGTCATTAAATGCCCGTTTGAGCCAATGAAACTCGTCCGGTTCACTTAAGGGACTCCATGCCAGTTTTTTTCGCGATTTTTTTCGTAATTTTTTCGCGTTTTTCGCGTCTGTAGGTGCGGGGAATCTCGTCCGCGTAGCCGGACAACTCGTCCACTGCCCCGAAGAGGCGGAAAACTCGTCCGAAAGGCGGACAACTCGTCCACCGCCGGTTTTTTCGCGAAAACGCGTCGTTAGGTGCGGGGAATGTCAGCCGGGGGTATGGTGTTATATAGTACAGATGAAACAGAAATCACAAGAAATCAACAAGGGAAAAATTCTTTCCTACTAACACCGGCAAATTTCCCTTAAAGCCGAAAAGACCTCCCCTCTCCCAAGAACGACCGAATACAACCCCTCCCCTTCTCAGCGAGAAGTACGACCCCCTTACGTGTTTTACACAACGCTGCTATACCCTGCTTGTCCATAGTGTGGTCAACAGGGACCTCACATTTTGGTACAAAAACGTTTGGCGTCCGCAGCAGAGTACCAGCGGGGCGATGTGTCACGGGAGCCATATGCGATGTTTCCGCGCTGAGCCGGCGTGGTCTTCGTGTTCAAGAGTCCACCTATCCAGTTGGCCCAAAGTCCAGCAAAATCTACCTCCCCTGTTAGGCTATGAAAATTTAATAACATTGAAATGATCGAGATGTTGTGGCATTTTCAAGTCGCTCCCATAGTTTTTACGTTATTAGAAGCTAAAAAAATTATTGAAAACCCAGTCAGCCTAATGATGTGAAAATCCAATTCATTTGTAGTTGTTAGCAACCAAACCGATGAAAAAATCATTTTGTCGGATAATTGCTTTGGTAGAATGAATTTAAGAAAGTTGAGTTCAGTGGGCACAAGCTTTTCCGATACATCAGGAGCCAACAGTAGTGGGCGAAGTATGGACCTATAGAGAGATAAGAACAGGACTGCTACAGCAAATCAAAAAATTAGGCGGATCGCCTCATGAAATCCTCTCCCGCGGCACTTGGGTATTACTGTCCACCAACCCTTTCCCCTGCACTTCTAAGTGGAAAGTGGCACGCCACTACAGCTGCGGACCTTTAGCTCGTACCTTAAAGGGCCTTCTGGGAAAAGGAGTAATACCATGCCAATTTTCTAGATGTCACTGCTGCCTCTGAGCAGTCGTCTGCCTGTTCTGACAGTGTTTTCCTTTTCCTTTATAAATGGCATGGTAGGTCATTTCAATGTAATTGGCATTCTGAGAACGTGGCATGGCGTGAAATGGCAGACAAATTAGAACGATCAGTCATGTTTGATTGCTAGCAAGCTCAGAGGCCATAGCTTTTCTCGGAATAAAGAAAATAGGCCAGCAAGAGTGGTAGGGAGATATCCTGGATTGAACTCCACACGAGGTTGTTAATTAACCTTTATTGGCCTACGTTTCGGCGGGATCGCCTTCTTCAGAGCCTGAAAGGATCGAAGCAATTTATGACTACCCGACCAAACGTTTCCACTACCCTACTGAAGTTCGAGTACATTACAGGCCATTACCTAATCGTAAGAGGGGGCACTCACCGCAACACAGTCCGATCTTCGAGACCAGCGAGCCGGCAGTAGGACCTCCTCGGACTGTTCCTCATTCAGGGTCACTCTTGGAAGGCCATCCTTATATAAGGCCTCAGCTCCTGCGTTATTGTGACGCATTCCCCCTCCGGTTCATTTTTGGATTGCTGACCTCAATCCAAAATGCCTCGAGGGTTTTGCGTGCAGATGTCTGCGATTCTCGCGCCAAGACCCTGACCTCGACCTCAAAATCGTCCCCGTCATGCACTTGAACCCTGTGGGCCCCTAAGGTAGTCGACAGGTAGGGGAAGTGGTAGGGTTTTCAAGATAGTGGTTGGGCCAAAGAATCAAGCTTTGTAATGCTACAACTAGATTCAACCGCTACTCAGAGATTCCTGATGTCAGCGTTATCTCCGACGGGATATTTTACGCAAAATATTTTTTTTGTGCTACACTGCAGTCAGTTTACGAATGTCTCTCGTTTTCCAGTAATCGCAAGCTGATAGCTGGTTTTGCAATTCTCCTTGGAGTCATCAGCAAAGGTACGATGTGCTTGGAATTCGAGGTACGCTTTCAGTTCCATATAGAAAAAAAGTTGAGAAAGATAGTTGTACTTGGAAGGCAATTTGCACACACTTTGTGCAGGCGGAGTCAGATCCACCCTAGTGCCTTCCTTACTGCCGCACCCTTCAGTTCTGAGACTGCTGACGACCAACGAGGTCATAATGATAGGCCCATTACCGTCCATAAGTCTAACCTAGCGATAAATGGATGGAAAACATAGCACAGCCAAAAGGGGGGAGGGTGACCGGAAGAAAAAGGCTTTCTATCTAAAAAACTGACAAGATAAATCATGAACATAGGATTAGCCATAAATTAATCCCATATGGGATGTGCTGCCCACTCGTAATTATTTGAAGTGGTAATGACATTTTTGATCAAAGTTTTTCTTCATATACAGATCAGCTATCAACAGTCGACCCCGAGGAGTGAAAAATTTTTCGCACAGAAACGCGGTGAAACATTCCAATTCCCATTCGACAAGTTCGGTGGGCGGCTCTCATTGCCAATAACCCTCTCTCTCCCC